TATATGGTGTGTGTGTGTGTGTGTGTGTGTGTGTGTGTGTGTGTGTGTGTGTGTGTGTGTGTGTGTGTGTGTGTGTGTGTGTGTGTGTGTGTGTGTATACCAACGATAAATCTTTCTACAAATCGGCTGCTCAAAAATTTAGAGTAAATGCATTTTTCGATTAATTAATTATTCAAAGATGCGACGAAGACAATTAAAATAAATAAATGTAAAAGAGAAAATATAAAATAAGAAAGTTATTTCCTCAAGAAAATTATTCTTCTGGCATCGATGGAAAAACAAGCAAATTAGAACATGCAATGTATTAAGCATATATTGTTAATGTGATTACGTATGATATACATATACTATACACTTTAGTTTGCGAAGTAAAAGAATAAATTCAAATCATCGCTTTATTTAATATTATTATATAAAAGTAGTGAACATTTGTTCCCCTTATATACATATTTCATCTTTAGACTTCCATAAAACTAACCGTAACAGAGTTTAGAGTTTCATATTATAATTTTAAGAATTAGTTGCCTCATTTATCGCACATTTTACTTTAACAGAAAAGCCAGGTCAAATCTAATCACCTTTTTAATTTTCCAGTGTACCCGCAGAAGCAGCAGTACGCGTATGCCGGATATCCGGCACCGGCGGCGTATCCAGGACCGTATTATCACGGTTCCCAATACGGGCCCTACAATTACTGAAGGAACTCGGCCGATCCGCATCGATGGAAAGAAAGTATCCCGAGCACAGCGCTCGTCGCTAACATCGAAAATTCGCATCACTTAGCAGAACGAGGACCAAAAATATTCAACACGAAATCTGAGAAACTCGTCAAAGTCGATCCGCTGATCACGCTCCGTGATGCAAAAGATCTATCGATCTGAAGGATCTAACGATCGCGTCGATCTCGAACGTAAATTGAATTTCATTTCAAAATTCGTGGCTTCAGATATTAGCGAGATGTAACGCCATGAGATTCCCAAATATGTAACTCTTTTCTTCCCGCGATAAACCGATCGTTTGACTCCATCCGACCAGAAGCAAAAATTCCAGGCAATACGAAAATTCAAAAGATGTCCGAGAGAAGTCCAAAAGGAATCTGAAAAATGAGGGTTTTCCTTTGGTCTTTTTTTATTGCATCTTTTGGACGTTCATGTTGTTCTTCAATATGGAAGCTCAACGCTTGCGCGAGACGGTTGCTCAAAAAATACGCGTACATTTTAGAAGCGAGATTACTTTGTATTTTTCCAGTTTCGATAAGTAAGATATCGATCATCCCTTACGCATCTTTCCCATGCGTGCTTATCGCAAGGGAGATACGCGTTCCCATCGTACATCGTTTCCATCGGACTCCGATCGGTTTCACCGAGCTTTCTCGCATTCCCATTAACGAGCGTTACATGGATGATTCATTCATCATGGTAACAGTCCCCGGCAAAAAGAGAAGGTCTGACAGAAAATGCAATCGGGCGATCACCGGATTTAATGGACGTTACTCGCCTCGATGAAACTCGGTAAAAACAGTCACGAGTCTTGTAATTGATTCGATCGACCATACGTTGATTGAATTTAGATCCGAGAAGCTTGGCTCGCGTCGATGGGCGTCGCGCGTTTATTATTATTTATTTAACGCGATCGAAACTCAAGTTTCTCTTTCGAGAAGAGGACTGTTGAGTCGTGCGAGCGAAGCGGAAAACGATATAACGTTCATCAACGCTCTTATCTCCTTGGTAGTACCAAATATTAAATAAATATCCTGTCTCTAAAAACAAATATCGCGATTTCGCGAGAATATTTGTTTTCGTACAATAAACTTGGTTTTAACACTTTCGAGTCCAACGGAACAATAGATTTAAGTTGGAAGGACATACGTAATTAGAATATAAGTGATTTGAAGGAAAATCATATATATTTATATGATATTTTTTTATTTCCTTGTGTCACTTTATATTAATTGTAGTTCCAATAAAAATCTATCGTTCCAGCCATTGATATACGTGCACGATGCAAGATTTGATTAAATAAATTAAAAATTCGTTTTGAAAATGTTAAAACTTTCTCGGGCGTGTACAATCTACGTAACATAAAATGTAAACATTTATGTAATATATGGTGCTACTAGGATCGTTATGCGATAATAATTCGCAAAGTTCGTCTAATACATAGCTCTTTGATAATGTTGATTTTTGTAAGGTTCATTACATCGATATTTCTATGTAAGATGTTTAGGAAGTAAAGAAAAATATTTTAATTATTTTATATATATA